TTTATACATGCTGTGAATGTGATTTTAATAATTCAACAGAAGGCAAGACAAAAAGCAGTACAACAGTCAATAGACTGTTCTTAGAAATTGAGCTAATCTTTCCATTCTTTTTGTCGGTCAAATTAAAATTTTGCCTTAGGTGACATGTGTGTGTCAAAAGTAATTTTTGTTAGAAACCATCTCGTCTTTTTTTTTCTGTAATATGTAGTCGATTTTAGTTCTACTTCCTGTGTATTTCTTTTTTAATACTTAATTCATTTGCACATCTATTTCGTAGCCTGCGGTCAGCATCATCATAACACTGATCTAGTGCTTCACTTTTAATAGATTATGAATAAAACAGGAAAAGAAAAGAACATAGAAAGATTCAAGAAGAACAAAACGTTTTTTTTTTTGTCATATCTTTAATAGAATGTCCAACAACAAATTTTGTTATACACACTTTCAGTGGATAAATTGAATGGTAACATTCTTATTCCTTTTTTGTATTGAGTAGAGGCACGTAAACATTTAATAAAATCACTTACCAGTAAGGTTTAAATTACGTAAGAGAAAGAGAGAGAGAGAGAGAGAGAGAGAGACATTTTTGACACAATAAGAACGACGACACAACACTTTCATATGAAATATGGAATCATTCGTTTTTCTTTTAATACGAGTAAATATATATGTTGAACAAACTTTTGATCTAAAAAGTTGACACAATTTTTAAAATTTTTATTTCTTTTATTGCTGTACTTCTTGTTCTTTCTTACTTTCGGACGATGTTGATTATTTGTTCACAAAAAAGGAGAAACCATTGTATTTTCCTATGATGTTTATCTGTATATTTATAAGTTTTTAATTAGACAATCAACATATACTCTGGAATAATTTCGAGTGAAAGAATGCGATAATATTGTTTTTAATCGATGCTTCAAAGTGTAGATATAATTGTTATTGAAAGATTTCGATAGGATAAGTCCTCATCCTCTGCGATTGAAAAACGCAATAGATACTCGCACAGTTTGGCAATGTATTCCTTTTCCGTTAAAAATTAGTGCTTAAAACGGAAAAACTTATTGAAATAAAGGATTATTAATCAATAGTTATTTTTATAAAAAAGAATGTGATCCTTTCTATCACATTGTCACTCTTGCCCTTAAACGATTCAAATCTTTCAATTATTTAAAAGAGATGAATATCGCATATAACGTTAAATAAAACTGAGTAAAGGTTCGGATTTAGTTTGTCTTGTCTATCCTTTGATCCGACATTATTTTCCTTCATCGTTTGCAACTATCCAAGGCTATCTCTTGCATTATACCTTGAATAAATTAGAATGGAAATCATCTGAATTGTAATAAATTTTTGCTTATCTGTATGAATATCAAATATTTTTTTTTTTTTTTTTTTTTTTGCTATGTACTGTATAAACATCATAGGTGATTACTACACATATCTGTTTACATATAGATATACATAAACAGAGCGTCAACATTTTTAATGTATATAATACTAAACTCTATTTACTTCCGATCGAATAATGAAGTTTTTCTTTTTGTGTGTGTGTGTGTGTGTTTTTAACAAGGAAATAGAACGATGAGGCAAGACAAACGCAAACAATAAGATAATAATAATGATGTGAGTGAATCTCGTTGTTAAATATATACGTCACAATTTTGTAGATATTATAATTTATATTTGTCATTTTGTCATGCATCCAATGACATTATATTCTCATCATCAATTACTACCATTACTATAACTACTAAAAGTTTCTCTCACATACTGCTTTTTTTTCTTATTTAAAATGTTCTCTGTAGTGTAAGAAAAAAAGAACAATTGATTTTGAACACACTCACATCCAATTCATAATCGTGATAAAAAGATGTAACGACATCGAGAGAACAATGAATATGTTGTCTATACGTATTGATATATCAGTTTTCACATTAGTTGACGTTTTCTGTGTGTGTATCGTGTATGTGTGCTTCCGTTCGATTAAGTAAGTGTGCGAAGGATGTGTACGTAAGTTAAACGTATTAAAATAAGTTTTTTAATGTTTTAAGATGTCTTATTTTTCCATTATTTTATTAAGTTCATTTAATATTCAATAAACAGGATAGATAAGAATTACATATGTTTTCTTAATTGAAAGAGTTTTTTAATTTCTAATAAGCACTATTAGTTATTAGAATATAAATTTATCCTTGAACATGCATATATTTCATATGTATCTACCTTCCTTATACCAGTATTTACTATTCATTACGTATGGCAAATGAAAACCGGAAATTTTTGTACTACATTCAGACGTATGTGAAAATCGGAAAAGAAATATTGAGTTGTTAATGAAAACAATGTTTCTTTAAAAAAAGAATCACTATTATTGGTATCGTCCCGATTCGTCGACAAATCGGACACTTCAGAGAATATGCATCAAAGAATTTCAAAGGCGGGAGGGGCGGTGTGAGAGTGAGTGTCGACGAATCGGGACTGAATCCTATTATTCTTTTCTTTTTTTATATATATTTAAAACGTTGTTATTACTATTACCAATACGTTAGTATTGGTTCACCTATTAAAATGTAGTAGAAAAATTAAATGATATTGCAAATATAAATTGCAAACTCGATTTCAATCACTTAATTTTGTGTCTACAGATGACACGATATACATTGATAATCTTCATTTAGTGCATGATGTCTCTTTCTCTTCTCTCATTCATATTGTATGTGTATGTAATGTTACATAAAGAAATAACTACCGACATAAAATTTCTGAACTTTAATCAAAATTACATTGTTTAGAAAAGATGGTATTATCAATATTAATCATGCTTATGAAAAAAAAAAAAAAATGTGTTTTTTTTCTTTAGTTTTTTTCTTCTTCGGGTGATGTATAATGTATAGAATTAACATAAATATCATATTCATGTTATTTCTGAAGGTGAACGAAGTAACTGAATCAGTTTTTTGATTATTACTTAACAGTGCGACATTGTTAATTATGTCAGATAATTTAAATAAGAACGTATACCAATCTAAACATACGTTAAAAAATAGATTTTGTACAGATTAAATGTATTGATAATTAGTGCGTTATCAATTCTTATTTAAGCAAGTAAGTTTCAATTCTGTACTATTATAGAACAGAACATTTTTTTTTTTATTACTCTCTTTGTTCTAGTATATCTCGTATTCAAAGAATTCAATTTCATTTGATAATATGAATGAGATAAATTTGTTTGAAACTTGAAATTAATACCACCTTGAGATTTTCACTTTTTCTTTTTTTATGTTTTCTTTGACGTCATCGCATAGTTCATCATATATGTACTACGTCTATTTAGTAAATTTTTTGCTTTCCATTTTGTTCTACATGAGAAATATGCCATATTTCCCAATACTGACAAGTATGTGCATGTAAAGGTTTAATAGTTAAAAAATCTTTAATAACTAGATGTGAGTAGAAAATGAGAAAATGAGAGAGATTGAACATGGATTTCTTTTTTTGACAAAGGACAATATGTAAAAAATATAAGAAAAAAAAATGTATGTAAGTTCTTACCCATGTTCTCTTATATAAGAGGACTCTTTTCTATGAGAAATAGTACAATGAGAACTTTTAAGTATGCATATAAATTTTGATAAGAAAGTTTGATAGAGTGTGTGTATGTATCATAATAGTTAGAATAGTGTATTTAAAGAAGGTGAAACATAGTAATTTGTTCGCCGATTGTACTTGATCAAATACACGAGAACTATTGATTGAATAATATTATCTAATAATGAATGATGTGTTTAATGATGTGTTTTTTTATATCAGCTGTACTTTTTTAGAATTGATACGAGATTAATCATTAGAATTTATCATTTTGAATTACATGAGAAAAGTTTAACCTTCAAAAACATTTGATAAACGTTTTCGATAGTACAGAGACTCTTATTATCAACAATAAAGATCTAAATTTTGATATATATCATCAACACGCATTATACTCTTTGACTTCAACTTTTTAAACGTTAGTTCAGTATGAGTAATTCCACTGTATTTAAATTCAGTCGTAAAATTGCGTTTAAAATCCGTTTCAATTAAACATCTGTGTCCATGCCTTTTTCGAATTCCTGTTTCTTATGTCCGTGCTCGCTATGTGGAAAATATGCATATCCATGCTTCGTTAATTCAAAGAAAATTTTTTGTTCAACCCATGACTATAGACATTTTTTCTTTATTCATCCGTGATGATCTATCATTCCTCGGAAAAGTCATTTATATTATATTCATACCATTTTTTTCTTCTTTTCGTAATAATGCTGATGAATTTTCAATAATGCGCTGTAGTAATGTATACAAATAAAAGCAAAGAATTACTCATACCCATCAACAAAAGTATTTTGCCCATGGACATGAGCACAGATGTCTAGCGTCAATACTTTCTTCTAATACAAATGTTTCATCGTCTTTCTTTTACAAAAAGTCTAATTGTGTATAATGCTTTTTATATTTATTTATAGATCATAAAAATTTCAAAATCAATTATGTTACATTTTTATTGTTAAATAATTGTAATAATTACTGATTTTTCGTTGTATATATCAACACTAAAGTTGTTAGATACATATTACACAGAAAAACCAACTATATCGTTAATATCGTCCATATTAATAATAGAAAATGTATCTACCAACATGTTTTTTGTAAAGACTTTTTTTTCTTTTATTTAATATATTAATCATTTGCAGTCAACAATAAATCTCCTGAGAATATTCTATTCCATTTATATATTTAAAACAAAACTCCACTATATAAAGAAACCGAACACGTTCATTTTTCTATTCTTTATCAATTGGTATAGACGATTTCAAACTCTCTGTTAACATTTATTTGAAAAATCATCAACAAAAAAATGTTTTCTTCGTCTTTATCGTTCATTTAGAAAATATTCCAAAAATTATTATTACTTCCGAATAATTAAATAATAAGTTGTAATTTCCGATACGTGTGTATAATCGAAAATGCCAAATAACAACTTTATTAATAATTGTTATCCATCACAATATCTTGTTTATACATCATTTAACAGACTAAATAAAAAGCAAAAGAAGATTCAACCTTCAGCATTGTTCGTTCGACAACAGCCACAACATTATTTTATTGAGAAAATGATGAAATATGATAATGATGACGAACGAACAAAAAACGTAAAAGAAAAACAATTACAAACATATGATCATCAAAAGAAACAATTCTTTTCATTTGAATCAAATTTAAACTATTCATCATGTTATTCACATCAAAATAAAAATAATGATTTAAGACAACTTGTTGGTACATTATTTCCATATATAACAACAACAGCAACAATAACAACAACAACCAACACAAATACAACAACAAGTGGCTATTCAACAGCTGGCGATGATAGTGAAAGTTCGGTAGCTGCAAGTCAAATTGTCGTGAATAATAATAATAATAATAATAATAATTTATATGATATTTCAATATCGGATACAGCTAGTAGTCTTGTTAAACAACCAAAAAATTCGTTTTTACATGATGAAACAAGCAGTATTGAATCAAATCAAAGTATAAACGTTAAACAACAACAAAAACAATTTACATCATCCCCAGAGAAATCAATTGGTAAGTATTGATGAAATCATTTGTATCATAGATTAAATATTAAACGGTGAGTACAACAGTTATTTGAGGTGAACAAGTTAGTCTCTAGTATGAAAACGTTTCAATTCTTATCTCATTAGTCTATCAAAAAATCTTTACAATTAAATATACCTATCATTATAAGTAATTAACTATCAACTAGTTATGCTTTGAATTTTGCAATAATCAGCTTTAATTACGCGTCATTATTCATCTCAAACCAGAAAATAGCATAAAACATTATTTTCATTTTCATTATTTTTTTTACTCAATATTCAACTATTGTTTTGAAAAGTCATGAATTCAAAGAATTTTGAATGCAATCATCATCCAAGTTTGTCATTAAATAGCGTTACACTTGGCTTTCTCATTCACATTGACTGGAGTTTATTTTTTCAATAAAAAATTTTGAAATATTTCTAATAGGAATCTCGATCAATCGCAAAAGAATAGCGTATCCAATTGTTTTTATAAGAACAATCAAAATAGTTTCCCGTACGTAACTATTTATCAACGCCTCATTGAATAATCTTACTTTTATAATAAACAAAGTGTTCAAGAACGTTGACATGTTCTGTTTTTTTATGTAATACAATAAAATATAATAAAAGTTTATTTCATCTAGCTCTAAAAACCTTTGTGTTGTTGTATAAATAATAGCAATAAATATGTCAGAAAAAAAACCGTATAGCAGTGATATTTGACACTAATTTCTTTTGTATATTAAGATCTATCATCAAATAAGACCTCTTATATTTTCCGGCTAATAATTTCTTTTAGTCTTTAGGATATTTAATCTGTATATTAATTTCAATCAGATGAGGAAAAGAGAAAAGGGGATCTGATTTTTCTTTATTCTTTCTTTTGTCTAGGTCTACATACAAACATCATCTAAATAATATACGTGACAAGCAATAACTAAAATATTAGTAACATTTGCTTTGATACAATCTTTTTTCAATATCCTTTGTACTCTACACTTAGTTCCCGAGAGAAAAACTTTTTCTCACTTCTTTTATGTTTATTTATTCCAATAAGAAAAAAATATGTTTTTTTTCTTGACTTTTAGAATGTCAACCGCAATATCAGCACAAATCACATCATCAATCAGGTATTCAAACATTATTTTCAAAATTAAAAAATTTTATTACACGAAAAACAAAAAAAAAAGTATCATGTTCTAAAACTCCATTGAAAACTTCATTGAAACAAACGATGAATAATGAACATGAATATTTTATGGAAAATTATAGTAGTACTAGTTATCAACAAACATCAATATTATCATCAAATAAACATTATCAACATAGAGAAGAAAAGAATATTTATCAAAGTACAACTCTACCATTTACATATGAACTAGAACAAGAACATAATGATATTGAACAAGCAACAAAAATACAAAAAAATGTTAACCCTTATTTTGATCGAATAGCAGCTTGGCTCGAAAATACGCAAATATTAAATGAGGATATAGCTGATTTACCATTTATTGATGATAATAACAATGATTTAACCTTAGCAGACAATTTTATACAACAACAACAAACAACAAATAACAAAGGTAGGAATGTTTGTTGTGATATACTTTTAGCAATGTTTTTTTTATAATAAGATAAATTTAGTGAAGAGTAGAGTTTGATACGTCGTATGATGTAAAAACATCATTATAAACGCGAATAATTTGTAATCAATCCTTCAAAATACACGAACTTTGCTCGCTCAATTAATTTAACTGTGAGTTTACATCAACACATACTAATGTTTGTAATAATATCGAAGTATGCAATTCATATTTACTATAGTAGCAGAATAAATGAAGCAGTAAATATAAACTTATTTACTTTAAGTATTTCTGTGTTAGTTTTCTGTTTTGTGCTCTGTTTGTTTCCTTCTGTTCTGTTTATAGTTAACAGAACAATACATCGCTATATGTGCATGTAGATAGAACAATTGACAAAAAAAACTACGTACAGATACTTAAATAATGTTGACATAAAGAAAATTACTTCGTGCCTTCATAATAATAATAATAATAATGGATGGATAGATAAAAGTAGATTACCATTATCATTATTATTATTATTATTGTTATTATTATGCGTCTTTAAACGATAACATCATATTTTATAAGAAACTCTATTGAAAAAATTTCCTTGATATTCAGAGATGCCAACTAGATAGGACACGAAGACCAGACAAAACGCATTATTTGTCGTGCAATAGCATTGAACAAATCGAAACCACATGAATATATTCTTTTTTTCTATCAATTATTTCTGTTACTCGTATTTCTCATATTACTATTTCAAAACGTAAAATTTAACACAAATACCTATTGTTACATAAAAGCAAAATAAATGATCAATTTAAACATAACTTTTTTTACTTCTATATTCATATTTTTCACTTTCACGAATACTGTTAAGAGCTGCTTTGTTATTTAAAATTGTGGAATGTAAATTCGTGCATGTTTTATTTGTATTCATGCTAATTTTCAATTTGATAGGTACTAATTTATCTGACATTCTATTCTGTGTGTCTGTCTAACAATAATTCATATGTAAAAAGATCATTTCTATATATGAATTAGATACTGAAATTGAAAAAATAAATTTCAATTCTGTTGATGTCTCAGTAGGAAGTTTACTTAAATCTTGTTAAGATCTATATGTTATTTTGATTAAGATTTTTGTAAGATGCAGTGAGAGACTGCTAAGGTCTTGCTAAGAATTTTATCATATTTCGTGATAAGATTGATGGGTTTTGAATACGTTATCTGACGCATGAGATGTTTTTATAAATTTCTGTACACATCCGAATTCTGGTTTGAAGCTGCGGTCTTGCATAGTTAAAGATCATAGTCAAACAAACCTTGAAGAATGAAGATAAATTTGGTCTTTTTGACGTTCATTCATGGATCTTGACTTGCACTGTACGCTCTCTGAAAAATTGTTTAGTACTTTCCAAAGAGCAGGGACGCACAATGTTTATGGAAACAAATAAGTCTATACCAGGTCTGAACGAATATGTTTTTTTTACTCCATCGCAGAACAAAATCACTAATAAATGGAAGGAAATTCAAAAGGTGGACAAATTTTGAAATGTGGGACTGTCCCTCCTCTTGTAAGAGATCATTTGACAATTCAGTTGTTTAGTTAGACTCCATTACCGTTTTCGGTGTAGGATGAGAAACAAAATACATGATTGTGAGCGTTCGTGCACCATTGTTGTTGTTTCTTTTCGTTAACAACGAAATTTTAACGTCTATTTGACGGGCTACTAGCCCGAAAGATCGAGAAGTGGCTATCGGCAGCCCAGGATCGCCTCCTTGTTGTTGTTTTAAAAAATTAAAATTGTGTTGGTGTTTTTCATTCAACGTAAGAAGTAGTGATATTGTAGAACGTTTGGTTGTATAACACTCTAAAAAGTTGTTTGTTAATAATATTCATCCTCCAATACTTGGATGAAATAAATATACATCATACAACCATATTATATGCAGCATAATCAACTAACATATAGAGAAGTAAAACGTGGTATTAGGCAATAGCTTGTATAGGAGTAGAAACTTTTAAAATAAAATTTATTCGATTATCTAAGCATCTTTAGCATTTGATCAGATGTTTGATAGAGAAATATTTCTTTTCTCCAAAAATGTGAAACAAGTAGAGAAAAGGTCAACCTAACCATATATACATATATATATATATTGTTTCTTTCGTTATACATATATATATATATGTATAACGAAAGAAACAAAAATGTCTTTAATCTACTTGCTTTATAAGGAATTGAAAACAATTAATTCTCTCTAAATTTACTTATTCAACTCAACGATTAATAATCATGATAGTTGAATCATCTAGAGAGTAACAATCATACTACATCCTTGAAAAGCCCATACGATTAATAATCAAAAAAAATGACGATTTACGTGGGTTTTCATATTTAATAATACAAAATTTTTGTTCATCCAACAAAGACATCTTTTTCGTTGATAACCAAGTACCCATGGTTTCAAAGTAAATAACGAATTTTTTTTTTTCTACTATAAATAACAACAACAACAACAGCAGCAATGACAAACACATTCATGTGCACAGATGTATTATTTCAGCTTTAACATTTTAATCCTCATACAATTTTGGAGATTATTTTTTGTTTCATGGTTTTCTTTTCCATGGTCCTTTTTTTTTCACTACTGTCTCATTTTTACTAAGGAAATATAAAAAAAAATAACAATATGTATTCTATTCTATGCACATATCAAAGATTCTATTACAAGATAAATACTTTGTTGTTAGAGATACCTTATGATCATATAACGTGTATCTAAACGTTATTGAAAAAATAAGACTGAGGAAAAGAACAGAAATGTCTATATAAAATATTTAGGGTCTTTTATTTTCTTTTTTTGTTCTCTGCATTCATTCTCCCCTTCTCTTTATCCGCATCTTCATGTATTTTGTTCATCATAACGGGTATGTGATTATATATATTAAAATGCCAGTATATATATATATATACAGGCTATGTATTCTACGTTAGCAACATTTAACTTGATTGACTCATAAATGAGAAAAAAAGAGGATAAAATAGAATCAAGGTGGGATCGATAAGTTAGAGTACGCATATACATTGAAAGAGGAACATAAACATTTAGCATCAAGTTTAAAACGAATATTTATATAAAACACACATTGTTTTTATAGATGTGATTTATTTATTTTTTTTCAAAATAGGAAAAAGTAATTCAGCATGGTTAAAATGAGAGAGTAAGATATACTTGGCAAGTTTGTTGTCTGACAAGGATTCTCTATGCGTTCATTTTTTTCATATAAAACATGTACCAAATGCAATTCATAACATTTTTATAAATTCTTCTTTATTTGTTTCGTCAAAAGTAATCCAGTGTATTTTTTCGAAAGAAAAAAAAGTACCTTTCTTAGAAATGGTACCTATACACTTCCGCTGATATGAGAATATCTTGATATCATTTAGTTTCTATTTTTTTATTTTGTTTCTTTAGGATTCTATCAAACATCCATATTGAACAATAATCATTTGTCAGATATATTCGGTTCTATTCTTCCTCATGACTATAGCAATATTACATCGTCTAAACAATTAGATCAAACTAACAGATATGGTAATGAAATAAAAATGAAACAATCATCATTATCATCACCTTCTATCCGTACTGATAAACCGAAACGGAGTAGTTCAATGATTACCACCACTCATCAACATCAACCAAAACAAACAACATCAACAGCCATTGTTCAAACATTAACACCGACAAGTTCATTTTCATCAATTATTTTGACAACCGGTATGAATGACCATGACTTATTAACAACACCGGTTAAAAAATTGTCGACTGAAATAAATCGACGAAAAACAATTGCAACAGTTAAAGATTATTCTCAACAACAAAATAATCATCGTCATTCAAGAATTGATGATAACAATAGAATAGCGAAATCTCAACAACAACAACGAGGTTTATCAATAAACAATCAGGAGAATTTTTCGACACCAACAATCGTAAGACGCCGACGAATTATTGATTTCTCTCGGCGACGAACAGTTGCAACAACATCTTCATCCACAACAGATATTAATAATAATAATAAAGAAAATTTGAATGATAATAAAAAACAATCGTCTTTAATTCGAAAAGATTCATTAACGAAACCGACTATTATTAAACAGCATGGTCCAACTAACAATGTGTCATTCTCAACATCCACGTCCACTTCTTCATTTCCTAAATCAGATAAAAAACAACCGGTGATCGAACTCATTCAACCACCATCTATCTATAAATTCACATCGTCTCCATTGACTCAATTATCTAAAAAATATTATTTTAATAACAATAACGCCACAACAAGTTCTGATAACGAATCAATGGTAGATGATGAATCGATGAGTTTCTATGGATTATTACAAAACTCAGACTATTCTAAAAACGGTCCGAAAAATCGTAACTCACTCGTGATGGTGTCGTGGCAAGCACCTCAGCAACAACAACATAGTTTACCAATGTCAACGTATAATACTAACAATAATAACGATATCCCACCATCTAAAAATCTGATTAATTTTCAAATGATAAGTGAGTATAATAATCGTTCTAATAAATCTCATTCATGCTCAATATCTTCTCCATCATACCAGTCTGAACAATTATCGAATAACGATCTAATTGATGATTTGCTATGTGATCGTGAAGTGGAAAGTTATTTTTATCCAAACTCTGTTTATTCTTCGTACGCTGATTATTCCTATGAACCTCATCAACAGTATCCACATATCTATATCAATGTGCCTCCACATCAACAAATAGCAAAATCCACAAAACAAAACATGCCAAGTGCAATAATAAATTTACCAGATTATTATGGAACATTGTGTTAAATATTTTTTTCTGATTCATTTTGCTATATATATATATATATACCTTTCTATGTTCAAAAATATATATTTGAAAAGAAAACAAAATATTATTTGTTATAGAGAGTAGATGCTGCTTGGTATTTGAAATGCTTAAAAGGTTATGAATAGTGCATCGTATTGTAAATATCTCTGTCCGATATTCATTCATTAAACAATGAGATATATTCAATTTATGCCATTTCAACATCTTCTGCTCTACATCAGCTGTGAGCGATAGAATAGATTATATAGCTTTGAATCGGTTAAACACTTTTACACGTACCCTCTTCATTCCATGTTCACATAATTTCGAAAAGGCTTACTCAAGACGATGAAAAGTCACTAAAACTTTCATTTGGTGTCGCAGTTACGTTTCTTATCTAAGTTTATATAGTTAATATCTCTTTGCTCTATAAACAACTGCAGTACTAAAGAAAACCGGCTAACGGTTAATCGATTGCTCTTTTTCTTCTTACTATAGAAACCGAACCGTACATCGCGGAGAGCCCAGGCACAAATATATACCCGCTAAACTGCACGGGTAACTGCGTGTGATTTTATTTGATATACGGTTCATGCCGATTCATGCGGATATCAGACCGGTTCTCGCGGATGGAGCACCGGTAATTCGGCGGTTTTAACCGGTTATTCACTGGAAAACCGCGGATGTCAAAGGTTGTCAATTTTTCGCACGTTGTTTTGTAATTAACACAAGCGGTTCTCGCCGGTCATGACTGCCGTTGTCTGCGGTTGTCCATAAAGCATACAGTTTTTTTTTCTTGGGGAAATAACCGCGGATCACTGCGGTTGGATGACAACAACTCATTCACCGATTTGTTTTGCAACACTATTAAGAACACAAGTTTTGTGCAATCGACATATAGTTTTGAACTTTTATAATTTCTGTGAAATCAAAGTAATGAATCAGAGGAATTGGTTGTCAGCAAATCAGTGACGCTCCCTTTTTAAAAAAGGCAGTATGCAGAGCCAAGCCTCTCTCAAAAGAGAGAGACCAAAGCTCAGATCCAAGAACGTTTCACTCGCGGTTTTCGCCGGTTTTGAGCGTTCTTGTTCTCCTTAGCGTAAAGCAAGCTTTAGGAGAGAAAACCATCTTGATAGGTAGTTCTAGCCAAAAATAGCCAGCAAGGACTGCAAATGATGTTCAAAACTATCCGCCTTTATCTGCAGTTTTCTCGAAAAGGGAGCAATACCATGCCTCCCTTTTTATAATAACCGCCTTGATAAGAGGTTTTTTGCAGTCTAGAACTGACGAGAACCCCGGTTTTCGAAAACATTTGATCGTCGAGAACCGTAGATACGTTTTAAAAGGGAGTGGATAAATCGCTCCCTTTCTAAAATAACCGTCGATCTAGACGGATAGCTTTTTTCCAACCTCAGTGAACCGCAGTTTTATACAAAAAGTAACCGCCTTCATCTGCGGGTAAATCGAAAAGAGAATGATTCTAGCCAATTTAGCACACACGTAGATCTACGCGGTTTTCACCAAAATATAACCGCCGTGAACCGCTGCTATACCCTAAAAAAGCACAAAAATATCAAAAACACACTCGCGGTTTTTATACGAGAGACCGGTTATTGTGTCGCAAACCGTCGGTTTTAACCTGTTTTTCTCCTTGAAAATGAGCCGGTGTGACCCGTATTTTCGACCGTTTTTTTTCCTATTGATTTTCGAGTATGGGAGATGCAAGATGTCTCATTTTGTAGATTAAAGTCTAATCTTTAAAGTTCTCTAAAAACTTATTTCAATTCAGTAGATCTTTCGTCGTCTATGGTTAAATATCACAGACTACTTTCTGCGAAAATATAGTTTTAGGTCTCATAGTAAAATCGTTAATGTAGCTGAAAAACGATCGAAACGAACCTATGAAACATTTTGAAGATCTTAACCTACAAAACAAGATACCTTGCAGCTCTCCGCAATGTACCATTAAGTTTCTACAGTAACAGGAAAAAGAGCAAAAAATAACGCCCTGACATAAATACGCAATTTATCTATACTGTAACTTCTTCAGTTAAGATACTGCAGAAGGCAAGAAAAAAATAAGAAACAGGATGATCACAGGCCGAATTCAAACAATCGTAAACGACGATCCAATATGAAATACAGTCCTTGATGACTTCATTACAATCATAAACCAATGGTACATAACTAGACGCGTATAATGATCGTTATCATTGTCTTGGAATTCCTTGAGTCAAAATCTTGACAAGAAATGCAGAAAAGAGTCTTTACCAGGATGGTTTAGCCGATTTTATGATTTTTAGGTGATCACTATCAATATGATACTTTTTTGCAAATAGCAGTCAAATACACTAATAACTGTGAGTGTAACCTGGCCATACGCGATAACAGCAAGTATGATAAACAAAATTTATTTCTCTTTTTATTTGAACAACTGATGCTTTACAAGAGTACAAGATATTTAACTTGATCAATATCTCCATGACAAACTACCAAAAAAGGCATTAACACAACATGTACTCGATTCGAGTTCATGATTAACATTGAAATTATCACATGGGTATCAATTAGCAACCACCTATAAAATATTTTTCTTAAGAAGAAAATTTTTGATTAATCTCAGGTGTTCTATTTGATGTACTAAACAAAAAAACCAGAAAAAAAGAAAAAAATCAAACAAAAACTGCGTTTGCCTTAGCTTTTATATTTTGATATTTTTGTTTTGCGTTCTAAATATATATATTTAGTTTGTATAAAAAGTTCAATGAAGATATAAAAAAAATAGTTTCACTATTAAAAATGTACAATTGTTGCAAAAAGTGTTGTTGGTATATCAACAGTTAACAGTTTCAGAAAGAAAATACAAAAATATAGAAAAAACAGATGTGAAATAGAATAAAAACGAATCACTTACTCACTACTGAATGAAAACTTTGTTCTGATCAGCCCATTTTATTTTTTACTTGTTGCTATTGTTGAACGTATTTTTGGTGAATCTAGAGATGTACCCATTTTGAAGAGTTTTGGCGATGAACGATTTGTATCTTCACGTTCACGAATCGCTTTCAAACGATACCAATGTGGTTGATCATCAATAACAGCGGCATCTAAAAAGAAAATCACAATTGTGAAAGTTAACGAATGTATAATGTAACAGAAAAATAATAGCTGACCTTTCAAATCAATAGTTACTTGACCTAGAAAATCATTTGCTTTAAATCGATCATAATCCCATACTGTAAACTCTACCATTTTATATTGTAATTCTTCACGATGAACATTTGGATAGATAGCTATATGATCCCATCTAGGATTTAACGACTTTGACACATGTTTTGTACGACGTTTGTTCTCTTGACTAGAAAAAAACGTAGTGTTAAAAAGTAACTTTTTTTTAGATATTTATAATATCGTTCGAATACTCACTCACGACCAGGTAAAAGATAAACTTTGACAAATGGATCAGAAAATCCGTTTGTATCTTTTGCTATAAGATTTTTTGCTCGAAGAATTTTAATCACTAATTGTTCATCTTCTTTATTATGAGTAATTTGTAACTAAAAAGGTACATTATACAATACTTTATCATTAAAATAAAAAAATAGTTTATTTACCTGAATATCTCCAACATAATCTTTCTCACTCATTTCAGGCTAAAAACAATAGATACATAAAATATCTCTCCGTAGTCTAATTTTAATACGTACCTGTTGAGAAACTCTTCTCTCATTTGCAAAATCGACACTTTTGGTCTTTTTTTTTAAAAAATTCAGTCTCAATCCTTTTCCACGTGCTTCAGATGGATTTCTTCCATCGGATGATGATCGAAGAAAATCTTGTAAACGTTTAGATGCATTTGTTAAATCAGCACTCGCTGTCCCTTCATCACTATACGATCCTCGACTCGTACGTGAAGCATTAACACTGTTACTACGTCGCGGTGTCAGTTTTGTTTTATTTAAATTTTGTGGTGTCGATAAGGATGGTAAAGTACCATCTCTCAACGAACTTTTTCGACTTTGATCCGATGGAAAATATTTTGATAGATTATCACTTTCATCCGATTCATTTGATCCACGTCGATCGCCATAATCTGATGGACATAAACTATTTCGATGCTCATATCGCCGATAGTTGTTTTCATCGAGTAATTTCTGAAAATAAGAATAAAACTAATCACATAATCAAATGAAACTTTTAATTATTTCGAATTATTATTTTCACCAAACGATAGAAAACTCGAAGCAGGAATAGTAATCTAATCAATTTTTTTTAGCCAGATCCCTAGTGAGATTTCTAAATGTTTTTTTTTGCGATAGGGATATTATATAAACTATATCACATATACTCTGCACAAAAGAAGAAACAGAAAGTGAGCGACAATAAATGACTGTTGCCCATATTGAATTGAAATGACTAGTTAAACATCGCAAATAATATTAACCCTCAACGAAACATGTCTGATCGGACTATGAGGATTCATTAAAAGAAATGAGATTTCATTTAATAATTCGTCGATATCTTGCATTTGACCTTGCATCGATATATTTTCCGTTTTTATTTTTAAGTAGGAAAAAAGTTAACACGACCTGTAGTAAGTAATCGGTTTGGAATAAATAATTTTGAACGGGCGAGGGAGCCTCACAAATTGTACCATCGTGTTGCGGTTGATATTATGGAGATAGGCAGAGCCTATTGTGACTAGAAGAAGTCCAAGAGAACATATTTCTGAAACTAGGATCTGTGGAAAGTCAGAATCTTAGAACACTGCATCCCCGAATTTGGTCGAGAAATTTTTTGCAAATAACTTCATCGTACAAGAAGAGCAAACGTTTCAAAACAAAATGAGACGTCTCCGAGCTCTCTAAGACATTTTTCATGAAACAGCATCCAATTTACGAAAGGCTCTAAGGGCATATTTTTCATGTTCCTGTTAATTTTGCTAATTTTGGTGGTATGAGATCTTTCGTAAATTGGATGCTGTTTCATGAAAAAATGTCGTAGAGATCTCGGGAACGTCTCATTTTATTCAAAAAATATTAGCTCCTGTATGATGAAATTATTTCCAAAAAATTTCTCGATCATATTCGGGGATGCAGTGTTCTCGATTCTGGTTTTCCACAGATCCTGATTTCAGAAATTTCGATAGAACTTTTATACACACCACACCAGACTGTAAATTTTTTCAGGTGTTCAAATCATTTTCAAATTTGCTCCAACTAGTATAGTTTAGGATAAAATTGAAAAATAAAGGTGAATGAATAATTTTTGAACCCACTGTATTGTTTTTACTTAATAAACCAAAATCTGCTGAAAAATTCATTTCTTCTGATCTGTATCGGCCGTGAATTTGAAACTTTGAGCATAATCACTCCATGACTGAATATATCACAGGTTAAAATTTTAACTTTCTATCGACTTCCATGCTAATTAGTTTGGGCTGTAATTAGAGTAATTTGCTTATAACTTGAGAAGGATGCCGCACGTATCCTCTTGGGCTTTTTCTAGTCACATTAGGTTCTACCTATTCTCATAATATCAACTAAATCACTATGGTGCACTTGGTGAGACTCCCTCGTGAGTACAATTGTCATATACTTTTGTTATTGATTAAAAGAAGTTGATCATCCACGTATTCGCGCCAGACGTGATTAATCTAATAAAGTACCTGTCACTATAACTAACCTAATCACTTTTTTTAATTTCACTTCAGCTAATCATGTTTTTTCTTTCTATACATGCGATAAAAAGAAGAAAAAACAGAGGAAATAGAATTTTTTTGCTATAAAACACCTCTCATCAACACTATTAGAAAAATTCTTTTAGAAGATTTGAATTTTAAGATATATCAATATGCTCTTAAATAAATGACAACACTCATTTAGAGTAAAGAAATGTAACAAAAATTGAAATATATGATTTAAGTCAATTAGTTTGTCCATACCTTGTCTGACGTTGGACTTTGAGACAATTTTTGATCATTTATGCTTGAAGCATCACTTGATCGTTCTTTTCTATATGATAATCTTCTCACTGGCACTTTAGGAATATCGATTGGTTCTTCTTCATTATTCAACATTAAAGGAATTGTTGTATTATCGTTAGTAGCTGTTAGTAGAGGATAAACGATATCGGATAGTTTCGGCGTTGTTGATGGTGTTATCGGCGTTGGTAGTCGATGTCCGGTTTCGTATTGTTGAATATCATTATTAAACATCCTATTATCAAAATCATCGGAATATGGCGATGTTGTATGAGATGATGAATGTTTTCGTTCATGCTCTGCTAAATTATAAACACCACTTTCTTGTTTATCAAACGAATCATTTGTCAGTGGTAGAGTATCAGTGTCTAAATTAAATGAGACTGCACACGTTGGACGATATGTATTGTCAGAATTGATAAGTGTCTTTTTTAGATGTTCGTTTGACTTAGATGAATGTAAAGATTCCCTCGATAAACGGTCGACAGAAAATAAACGTTCCTTTGGCATACTACTTGTACCAGTATGCTGTAAATCATGAACAGATAATGAATAAGAATGATGTTGTCCATTAGGTAATAGAGTATTTGATGTTGATTTGGATGGAATATTTACTGGTGGTCTAATCATTGTTGAATGTGATTTGACAACATTTGATAGAGGAATACTAGATGGTATTACAACAGTAGCAACCTCTGCTCTTGGTTCGGAATAACGACGAAAACTATCGGCCCGTCGCCGTGATTTCGAAAATTCCATATCCATATCGAATGACGAGTCAGCTGTTAATAAATTCTTTTTTTCTTGAACTATATCAATTGGATTGAGTTGAACAATAAGTGGAAGGACTGACGAATTAACTTTAGTTTGATCAACATCAATCTTTTGGCTGAACAAAAAGATAGTTTAAAAAAACGAGTCCAAGAGGCATACGGAAATTAAGAAAATTACCTTCGAACAACAATTTCAAATTCATCTTGAATTGAATTCATTAAATTTTGTACAAACAATGTACTTTTACCTCGAAGACTAACACCTCCAATTTCTAATGCTTCATCTCCTAAATGAAAAAATTAGCAGAAATTTACGGTAATCATAATGAAAGAGAAGATTAGTGGAACAATTACATATTATGCACGAATTAATTTACCTGCTCTCACAGCGTTTTTTAATATTTCGTAGTTACGATGATGCTCATTAATTGTTTCAATAATGGCTGTTACTTCTGTACAATCCGGTAGAGAATGACCACCGGTGATTTTTAATCCAAGATCCGTACCATCTACACAACAATAAAATATGAAATATTCTAGTAAATAATATAAAATATAAAATGACTTTTTATGTACCTTTACGACTATGTATATCTTTTGTTAATATTAGTTTTGATACTGGAAATGGATAAGTGGTTTCTGTGGATGTGCTCTAAGCAAAGATAGAATAATTGAACTATATTTTAATTCAATCATGTATTACTTACTTTTTGCACTTTTTTACGGTTTGATGTTTCGTTTGATGTTTGCTCTGAAAATAAATCAATAGTGAAATTCATGGAGAAGAAAATGAGAACGGAGAATAGACTCTACCATGTCTTATTGTTGGTAACCGAATTTGATCTAAATCTTCTGTTGTTGTTTCTGCTGTATTTGTCTCATTATCAGTTTTTGTAATACCATTTATCAGATTATGTTTTTGTCGCGCATCGGGATCTTTTCTTTTAACCTTTTTTTTCGTTGTATGTCGATCGTTAGTGCTGGTTGTTTGATCTTTAAGCAGAACTTTAGGTGGTAACGATAGTAGATGTTCTTCTTGTTCATGATTTGAACTGTTTAAAGTTGCACATGTTTTGGAAGACAACTCGTTCTTTGTTAAGTCAGGTTGAGAAGCGAACTCATACGGAGTAACAATAGAATCTGTTTTTGAACGCTCTTTTGTACCGACTGTATTTAAATCAATTTCAAGCAAATCTTCATCAAAGTCTTCTCGTAATGAATTTAATTGATGGGTATTTTGTGGATCGGTAGATAAAAATAATCGATGTTCACGAAAACATACTGGATCTGATGAACGATTTGAGAAACCATTTTGTGTGGCACTACGATCCGGTAGAGAAAAGCGCGAATCAGAATTCGTTCGTCGTAGCGCAATTGAAGATGGAATCGATGGTAAATTACGTTTCATACGTTTTGGATCCTAAAAGAATGTTAGAAACACATAGAATAACATTAGTATAATAAAAGAGATCACAAATTACCTTATATTCAGGTATTTTTCTTGGCAAACTCTTTGTTCCTGTTGCTGTTATTAGATTCTTTTCAGCTTGACGCATACATTTTGAGAATATGTCCATTCTTGGCGGTTGAGTATGACTAGTATTTTCAGTTACATCTGTGATAGTTAAAGTATGTTCTTTATCCAGTGATTTTTGACTTATATGATTTAATTTTTGATGGATACCTAATGATCGACTAAGACTTCCAGGTCTTGATACTATTTCGTCTTGTGGTTCTGTTGCTACAATAGGTTCAATTTCCATTTCTTGTATAGCATTAATATCAACAATCTTTTTCAACAGATTATCGGTTGTTGTTATTGGTCGTGTTAATGGAAAATTTCTCGATATATTTGCTATTGTATCCGCTAATTCTTGAATATGATCACGTTCTTCTATGATTAACTGTGGCTTCTGTTGATGATGACTATTATTCTCTTCATCTGACGATAGATAATCGTCAATTTCATCGACAATATATTGAGGCGGTTGGGAAGTCGTTTGTTCAACGATAGATGTATTTTCAATTGGAATTGTTTCAGCATATGATGGCCCCTGATAGAGAAAATCTTCTTCAGCCACCTCTGTTAGACTGCCTAAACGTGTACTATTCAATCTATTACATGGAACAATAACAACAAGTTCATCAAGAACATTTGCACTACTAGCGGAGGATTCTATTTCATGAGAAGATGTTGGTTTATTTTCTTCTGGACTTATGACAGGTTGGGAATTATAGTGATTACTAATATAAGATGCATATTCGCCAATAGCATTTGTTGTCCGTGCATCTTCTTCTTCTTCTTCTTCTTCGTTATGATTATTATTATTATCATCATCATCAACATCATCATCATCGTCATCATCATCATCAATAGATTCAACGAGTGCTCCTTGAGCTGAAATATTGTCATAAATGTTATTCACGTTATTTGTTGACTCAATGTCATCTTCTTCTGTCTTATTCCAATATCCGAAACCGTTTATTTGAGAATGTTGATCTGGAACCGCCATTTTTGATTTTGAAACACCAAATATTTGTTTTCCGGCAATATCGGTATCTAAATATTTGATTACGCTTTAAATATAAAGAACAGCCCTAAGAAAAACCCACTGTCAACTTACATTTATTAAATGACATTTTTGTAGGGATCTCATTATTATCCAACTAAAAAAAAGGAAAAACTGTTCTTCCTTTCATCATAAAAGAAAAGTGTGAGTGTAATACTGACGCGTGGTTTTTCTATACAATTCGAGCATAATGATGATAATGGTTGTTCAAGTTGTTTCTGGCACATTTCACAATTTCCATTTTCTACATCATTATGTTTATTTTGTTGTTGTTCAATTGCTGGCAAATAACTAATCCCGTTTTCTTCTCCATGTGGTTGTTGCTGCAGCTGTTGTCTGAAATACAAAAAGAGACGAGTAACAATACAAATAATTAACTGTTTTATGATAAATTGCATTGTAACATGAATTTTGTTTCCTTCAAAACTAAAAATATCCGAATAATTATTATTTCATCCATGATCACATATTGTTTAAAAATTATAGTTCTAGACAACCATATGTGACCTCAAGAGATTAATGAATCGACAACATGTAATTTTTCAATTGTCTTCTCTCTTGTTTTATTCTTTATACATCTCTAAGTTTCGGTAGAAATATTAACTCAAAAAAAATAAACATAACACTTTTAAACTTTGTTATAGATAAAAGTACCCTTAAAAATTGAAAAAACATTTCCTAGTGAATTGCATTGAACGTTTTATCTCATTACTAATTGAAATGATAAACAACACGTACACTCAACTGCTCTGTCATTATTTTGTCGTATGATCAATTCTGATAGATATCAGTATGTTTACGAAACCAACACTAATCCCTATGATGTCTTAACAGTTAATACACTGTTTTTCAATAAATAGAGATAATAAACCTTATATAGTGTGTGAATACTAGTATAGTGGACTAAAATGTGTGACTAAAAATGATTTTCAAGCAGTCAAAAGTTTTAAAAAAGTTGAATATTCCATACTATATGTAAAATATGTAAATGCTCAGTTATTTAAAATTTTAATTGATTGTTATTCATTTTGTTGAACTTACCCGTCGTTTATACTAGAAGAAGTTGACGATGATGTTGATATAGTGTCAGTAGCAAAATTATCTGGTTGTTGATGTTGTTCTTGTTGTTCAACTTGTCTCGCTCGTCTTAAAACAGCTGCTATATGTTCTTGTTCGTCTCTATTTAAATGACTTAAATCGATTTCAGGTGATGAAGGTGGTAATATGGGTAAACGTAACGGTAGAGTTGATGATGAACTTCGCCGTCGACTAGTCGAATTATTAAAATTATCCATTGACATTGGTCTCGATAAATAGTTAGTTGAATGAGTCGATAATTGAACATGATGATGATTAGTCGGTGTTTGATCAATTTGAGGTGGATCTAATGTAACATCCACAGCACTTTGTACCCACTTTCGAAATGAATTTAGCATATTTTTAACTAATTACAATAGGCACTATCAAATAAAAACATGATGTATGTCTTCGTGTATACAAATACTTATTTTCATTGTTTTTATTTAATTTATTAGTATTCTTTTTTTTCTTTTCTTGTTCGTGTATTTTTTGCTAACTTTGTCAATCACATGAAGTAGCAACAAAACAGATAATAAAATTGTTGGTTTTCTGGTGTATGATGATCAATTAAAACTTTATTATTATCAAGGTACATCGTCGTTTTTTGTTAGATTTTTTTTTGTTTTGTTTTAAGAAGATGTTGTCTCTTTCCTTGGCTTTTTACATATTTAAAATTATCATCTCTATCCCAACGTCCTTTTTTCTATGTTCATCTTTATTTCTAGAATTTCCTTCTTTTCTTTACATATTCTGTTCCCTATTGGCATCCGCGTGAATAGCTAGTTAGAAAATCATTCTATACACATTTTACTCAATTTCATCTGTGTGTGTAGATTTTTCTTTTAGTTTAACAATATTTTCATTCTTCTACTAGTGTCACACGCGACTTGGATAGAGCAGCAGAAAAAAAAAATTTTTTTTCCTCATTACAGAAAAGAACCATTTTCTTTTTTAATATAAACTTTTTATTGTTATTACAACTATCCTTTAGTTTTTTCATTAATATGCTCTAGTATTTCCACTATTTTTCTTTTTTCAGTATTTTTTTACTATTATATCTTCGTAGAACAGAACAGAACATACACAAATTTTATATCTTTTTATATTGATGGTTGAAACCACACATCATGGTACTTTTTTCTTTTTCGTTTCTCTACTATATTATAACTATCAAAAAAATGGAAAACAACTATGATCCAATTTCTTTTTTTTTTCTTTAGATCTTCAGCAGCCATACATATATATATATATATAATCTGTTCACAATGCATATTTGAAAATCCATCGAATTGTCTCTCTTCATGCACGCAGTAAAGAATGAGAAAAAGAAAACGTGTATAGATAGAGAAAGAAAGGCGGAAAAATGGAAGCTCGAATTTCATCGTTTCTGAAAAAACAAAAAGTTTTTCTTTATACAACACACAATCTACATATTTAACAAAAAAGATAATCAAAAAGCATGACAATAACTATATTTTTAAATAACTTTTTTTTTTTTTTTTCTTTTTTCTTTTTACTTATTATTAATAGATCCATTACAAATATAAAAAAAGTCATTCGGAAGTTTGAAAAAAAAATAGAGATTTAGACAAGAAGCGGATCATTTTAACGCTGGCTTACATCGTTTCCTGTATATCGATGAGAATATATGGAACAATGATCACTTTGATTAATCGTGTAAAAAAAAGCGAAACTATAGTATTAAGCTGTTTTTCTTCCACTATTATGACAACAACTTCCACTAAAAAAAAAGAGAAAAAGTGTTTCCTTTTATGATCCATCTATTTCTACTTCATTAATTCATTAAATTTAACGTTAGGCGAACATACGGCTGAGTAATTAATTCAATAATACTGATAAAGTTACGTCATAGCTCAATTACTCGATTTGAAGAAGAAAACAGGAGAAACTTAGATAAGAGCCGTTCAGAGGAGAAAAATAGTACCCAAACATTGTTGACTTCCTATTTCTATGTGATCTTTAAGAACGGATGCACTTAATCAGATCTACAACTCGATACGAAGAACTAATTCCATTATCATACTGAAAAACAAATAATTTTCAGTAAATGATTATTATTCTCCTGTTATATTCACTCATGAGATTAATTTAACTAATGTATCAGTCATTCGTAATGAGGAAAAAAATTCTCTAGCCGGGTAACTCTCAAAAATTAATGGATCCTCGAAATTAACTGAAAATTTTCAAGATTAGTATGAAAAATGTAATTCAATGATATTGATGTGCAAATTTGATGAGGGATAGAAAGGAAGGCAATCTTTTCCTTGTACATTTTTTTTATTGTATAACAATGGCTTATACCAAAAGTTTACGTATAGTTATTTATCTTATGAATAGGTATTGTTAATAGAATATCGGCCCGGGTTGAATGTTAAAAGATGAACCATGTGTCATAAAACAATTATCTGCTCGGATATGATATATCCAGACTTATGTAGAGGAGCGAAAACTTTTATAACGTCTCATCAAGACCATGGATAAGAGAATTTTCACGTGATAGTGAGTCTCTTAATAGTATCATATAATCTATACCACATTCTCGTACTGGAAGAAGTTGAAAATTTGAAATATCGTTTTAGAAGTATTTAATATAATTATTTATTCCTACTATGTGTAATAATAACACCAAATTCTTCATGCTATTCGGAGCAAGTGCAAACAGACATTGTATTATTCCTTGATGAAGAAAGCATAAATTATCAATAATTATGAGAATGGAAAAACTTGTTAGAAAAGAGTCATTTTCTCTGCTCTTGAATCATCCAGTGTTAGCCTAGTTCTGATGTCAAATATTGAACTCACTTGATGATCTGAGATGTTTTATGAGTGAATTTCATTCTTCCTATAATAAAAAATTCCTTTCAGTCTGCCATCTGAGTAGTTTTATTAGCTTCAACAACTTACTTATAGCTTGTTGAATTTTCTAATCGTATGCATAGTTCAACAACGGACTCATTAGAGAAGCGGACACAAAATCTAATTCTTGTCAATTTTCCATTAATTGATAGCAACACTTTTCCGACATTTTTTCAAGCACCTGCTGATGAGAGATTGATCAGTTGAAATACTCTGTAACTACTGCATCAATATTTTTGTGACAAACTTTCAGTGGACTTTTGTGTAGCTGTAATGTATATTGTACTCATTAGGTTTTTTTACACAGCACAAATGGTTAGTACCAGTGTGAAGATCTGCGTTAATTTATGTGAAAACAATCGTGTTAAAAAACAAGAAACAGTATTCTTATGTAAGGCGGGAAGAGTTAAGAGACAGACAAAGAGACAAGAAAGAGTCATGAGTAGAAATACAGATAAGCGATGAGTGAGACTGCTCATACAAATAAAAAAGGAATGATATGATAGAATTTCGTAACAATATACAAAGCCTAAGAGCTTATATAACAACTTGATTGATGATCACTGGATAGACATTTTCCATGGATCAAATTTCTCAAGATGAGCACTCATTACCAACAGCAGAGCATCTAAATAATAGTACACTCTAAAAAAAAATGCGATTTAGGCTCAAATTAAGTCGCATTAATGTGCCTTATTCCTTGCAAATAAGACACACTAATGCGACTTAATTTGATCCGCAGAAGTCGCATTTTTTTTTTGGGTGAGTCTATTGACACTCCCAGGAGTGTCAACAAGGAGCTATTGCCACGCCCGGGCGTGTTAACAAGAAGCTATTGCCACTCCCTGGGCGTGTCAACAGGAAGCTATTGCCACGCCCTGGGCGTGTCAACAAGGTGCTAAGATGAAGAAATCTTCTGAATATTTTCCTTGAGGTTCATAGCAAGCAGTTTTATACATTTTTACAGACTAACTGAGTATAACTATAAATAATATTTTGCTTTTTTTTTCTCTAATTTTCTTTTATACCCAATTCTTGAAAATGAGCCTGCAGATTTATCTTCATTAGAAAATGATATTTATATAGTCTTCTCTGTTGAGATTCATACCTATATTTCACTT